TTACATATTCTGAATATTAATCCCTTGTCAGATGAACAGTTGGTAAATAGTATCTCTTACTCCATAAATTGTCTCTTAACTCTATTGTTTCCTTTCCTATAAAGATATTACTTAGTCTGAATAATCCAATTAACTAATTTTAATTTGGAATTAAAAAGGATACCTGGGCCAGCGGAGAACACCTGTAATCCCAGCAGCTCAAGAGGCTGAGGCAGGAGGATCACKAGTTCAAAGCCGGCTTCAGCAACTTGGCAAGGCCCTAAGCAACTCAGTGAGACCCTGTCTCTAAATGAAATATTAAAAAGGGCTGGGGATGTGGCTCAGTGGTTGAGTGCCCCTGAGTTCAATCCCCAGTACWCACACACACATACACACACAAAGAAAAAAAAAAGGAGGAGGAGGAGACCACCTAGTAGTTCATGTAATTAAAGGGAAAGTTGGAAACCTGGCTTGAAAATGGAGAGGGCCCAGAGCATCTCCAGGGCTCCAGGCAACAGGAAGGTGTGGTAGACAGTCTTGCAGACTACCATCACTGGGATGAATCAATTCAACATTCCATCCATCCTGTGTCACATGGCTAAGCTAAGGTGGGGGAGGGCAGGACAGGGTGCTTTGATTCAACCAAGACAGCCCTTAATGGGGGGGGGGAGTAAATAAATTTCTGTTACTGAAAAAGAAAGAATGGATCMTCAATGGCTAAGGAAAAATAAATGTCTGCAACAGGGTTTGATTTCGATGGCTCCCAAACCCATCCTCATTTCATTAAGTTAAAAGTCCTGGCCTCCATATGCTRGTCCTCGGTTCTTTTTTTTAATGGGTGCATTATAATTATGCCTTTATTATGCCATGTTCATGCTTGTACATGATCAATCTCATTCCCCACATTGTCTGTCTGTTCTTATTAGTTGGTCAAGAATGATAACTTTGCCTTTACTTAAGAAGTTCAGCATCATTGGAGTCAACACCACCATGGGGGAGCTGAGRAAAAAACCCTCTGCAGTTGGGATAAATATCTAGATATCCAGAAATACAGAGCTAAGACTCCCTCAACTTTGCCAAATAAAATAACCAAGAACAAAGGATCTAGGGTAAAGAAATCAACCCCTTTACCAGAGGCTAGCRAACTTTCTCTGGAAGGGCTAGGTAGCAAATATCTGAAGTTTTTCAGGGTCATCCAGTCTCTGTTACAACTTCTCACCTCCACAAAGAAAGCAATAGACAGCAAGGAAACAAATAGGCATGGCTTTGTTCCAACAAAACTTTATAAAATCAGCCGGCAGGCAGGATTTGATCTGGGGCCATAGTCTGCTGATCTCTGCTTAAATCCAAATCACAACAACTAAACACATCATGCTTCAATTCTGGTTATTTCAATTCTGACTCCTGTGATTTTAAAGAATTAACTTTCAGTTGTCAAAAATATTTAGGGCAGTATTCACTTGATTTATCCACCTGTGTTATAAACTACATCAGTTGATTTTTGACTTGGAGAAAACGTGACAATAAATGAACATCAAAGTCAATTTTGCTACCCACATAGATAAAGAAAAGTAACTGTGATTATTCATTTAAACAATCAACATACATTCTCCTACCACCTATTATGTGCCGGGGCTGAGACTGGATACACAAAATACACAGGCCTTACAGAGTTTGAGCCTGGTGGAGAAACTCAGAATCTAGAAAACTCATCCATAGCAAATACTCCTCTCATGGGTGATGGCTGGCTGTTACAGAGAACCAGGATCATGTTTGAAAAGTACATGTCTCCAAATGGAATAAACTGACTCCTGGACTGGTCAGAAGAGCACAAGTAGAGTCCAGCTAAACAATGCCAATGGGAAGTTCCTATTTAAGAGTTCAAACCAGAAAACCTGTCAAAAATCTGTCATCATCAAACATCTCCTGGGGTGACTGCAAGATTGATGACAATATCATCAGTATGCCAGGTAGGTTCAGCTCCCAGTGGCTAAAGCTATTCTATGTTCATATCCATGTGCCCACGACTGATGGACCCAGGAATCAACAACTGACCCAAGAAGGGTATAATAGAAAGTCATCAAAGATGACCATCATAAATTCCTTTGCTCCTTCTATGCATATGTTTTTTCTCATATCAAGAGTGGAGCCCATTCTACCTATGCTTGAATCTGGGCTGGTCTTTCTCTTGACCAAGAGAAAACGGCAGAAGTCATCCTCTGAACTCTGAGGGTAGGTCAGAAGCAGCTGTTCAGCTTCCATCTTAGTCTCTCAGAACATCCTCTCTTAGAATCCAGCTGATGTTCTGTAAGGAAGCCCACCCAGTCCCATGGAGGGGCTGATGTGCAGAGGAACTGAAGTCTCCTCACTAATGGTCCCAACATTGAGCTCTAACAGGCTGCCAGCACCTGCTTATCATATGAATGTGCCATCTTGGAAATGGATCCTTCATCTGTTCATCAATAGCCCCAGACGTTTCATGATAATTTGTTATTCAGTGATAGATAATAGGAACATTAAGTTTATCAGCCCTTTTCTCTGAAGACTTTGAAATTTTGGTTGGAAATTAACAGATATTAGAAATTTGGGGAGCTGAGTCTCATTAAGAAGCAACCGTTGGTGTGCATTAGAATCACATGGAAAAACTTTGCAAGATAGAAAGTTCTAGTCCGCCTCCCACTCAGATCTCTGATTCAGTAGGTTTGGGATGGAGCCCAGGAGTATTTTAATCAAGCATTTAAAACAAGCTTCCTATGCATCTGTTATTATGTACTGAAACTCTGATTTGTATACTCAACATGGAAAACCCATACACAAACCCCAACAGCCAAAACAGTCCCGAGCAAAAATAGCAATGCTGAAGGGGCCACCCAATATCTGATTTCAAAATACACTACAGAGCCACACAGTATGGCACTTGCAAAAAATAGGCATGTACGCTGACGGAATAGAACAGAGGACGCAGCAACAAACTACAGCTACAGCCATGTGATTCCTGACAAAGGCGCCAAAAAACATATGTTGGAGAAAAGACAAACATGCTGGGGAAACTGGGTATTTACAGAGAAAAGATTAAAACTAGATCCCTAACTCTCCCTATGCAAAAATCAGTTAAAAATGGTCAAAGACAATGGCTTCCTGAACAGGATTCCAACAGCTCAGGAAATAACAGCAAGAACCAACAAATGGGATGGCATCAAATTAAAAAAAAAAAAAATTGCCCAGCAAAAGAAAAACAATTGGTAGAATGAAGAACCTGTCTACAGAACGGGAGAAAAATCTTTGCCAGCTGCTCTTCTGATGGAATCCAGAACTCAAAGAGTTCTAAAGAACCATAAAACAAACAAGATCACTTAATGGGCAAACAGAACTGAACAGAGCCTTCTCAAAGAAGTACAAATGGCCATTAGGCAAATGCAAATCAAGGCTACATTGAGACTCCATCTCACCCCTGTCAGGATGGCATTCATCAAGAACACAAAAGACAACAAATGCTGGTGAAGATGAAGAGCAAATGAACCCTCATACAGCTGTCGGTGGAGATGCAAATATGAACAGCCACTATGGCAGTCATACCACAACTCAGTGTCTACCTGAAGAAATTAAAGTCAGCATACTACAGAGGTACCTCACACCTGTGTTTATTGGGGCACAGTCCACAGGTGCCCATCAACTGATGAATGGATAAAGAAATATAGTCTATTTACATAGTGGAGTATCATTCAGCCACAAAGAAGAACAAAAATCATTCCATTTGCAGGGAAATGGATGGAACTGGAGACCCTAATGTTAAATAAAATAAGCCAGACTCAGACAAATGCCACATTTTCCCCATATGTGGCATCTAGGGGTGGAAAAAGATGACAAGAAAATAGAAGGCTATTAGGGAAGAGGAAGGRGATCGGGGAAGGGGATCTGAGGAAGGGGTCCTGGGAAGGGAGAGTAAAGGAAGGCATAGGGGGTAGAAAGGATTCATGTTATTTGCACGTACAAATATACCACGATAAAACTTATTATTCTAAGTAAATGTACTAATTAAAATGTACTAATAAAAAAGGAAAGAAAGAAAACCAGTACACACACGCACTCAGACTTTCCCTCACCCTGTGTTCTCATCTTAACTTGAGCCCCTGGCAATCCATCCAGTCTTGGCTATTTGTAGCCTCAGATGTGGGTGGACCTCAGGGTTCAGAAAAGCCTCTGTCCATCAAAAACTCAGCCAAGGAGACAGTAGTGCTTCATCAACTCACAGTTGAATCCAAACTGAACTGGAAGACWATCTTCCCAACTTTAGAATCCTAAAATACCTAGGATTACAAGATTAAAGACCTCGGTTTGAAATACCAGGTGAAATGTGTTATAATCCTCGTTAWAATTTTTCCTCCAAGAGGCAAATCTCATCAGACACCTTGGGGATTCTTCTGGAGTCTCTCACAGATGACAGGCCAGCGGACTCTACCATTATCAGCAGACAGAATTTCAAAGGGCTGAGCACTGTGCTGGACGAGACTGGCTGCCTTGGGGGAGACTGTCTTTGAGGAGTTCAGAAGGAAAACCTGATTTACAGGCCTGAACTCCCACAGCTCTGTWAGACACAAACGGGGTCAAGGTCTGTGTGTTCTTTCCTGCCTAAAACATTTATTTGGGAACAAGAAAAGGGTGGGGGCGAGCCTGAAAGTTTCTCTTCACCTTTCCCACAGCCAGTCCAAACAGGCAAATTCTGTTTAAGTGGCCATTTGATGGGCCTCCAAGTGACAAGCCTGGGGTCTTCAAATACAGAGGACACTCATGAATGGGTCACGAGCAGGTGAAGTTGACTCGCCGTCTTCTCCTTACTTCYCTCTCTATCTTCATAATGCCCTCTGTCCCTCCACTGTCCCCCAAGCTAARGTGCCTGTGGGGTGGCCAGCACCTTGCCAGGGTACTTTTGCCTACTCAGAGGGATAAGCCTCCAAAGAACTTAAAGTCTGAAATAACTAGTAAAGAACAAAAGACARAGTCAGAATTATAGTTTTCAAGGATGGAGAACCTGATAGAATCAGCCCACTCAGGACCTGGAGTTAGACAATTAGAGAACGGTTCCCAGTTCCGTGGTTTATTTGAGGGGGTACATCAAAGGCAGGGATAAGGTTCCAGGGGTGGCGTCTTGCTTCCTGATGTCTTGCAGTCAGCAGGTTGATTGGCACCTTGGCAGGTCACACCCATCTCTGAAAGGTTGTATGGCTGCAGCAGGTCACCCCCTCCCCGATGCTGTGTGGGGCCAGGCAGAGCTGAATAGAAATTCACACGTATTTGGGCGATCTGATCCTGTGGGATTGCCACGGGAAGTCCCCGAATACCAGATTTTCCTATTCAAAGGCTACAATGCKGGGGGAGTCCACACACAGCCCACGGATGGCTTTCGACAGGTGCCCTACCCAGAAGTGGCTTATTCATGAATGTGTGTTTTCTCCTCTTTCTTCAAAGACTGTTTTCTCCTGTTTCTCCCATCTTTCTCTCATTGACTCTCTGCTTGCCTCAAATCATATCTTCCCTTGTTCCCGCTCCCTGTGGACCCTTCTTCCCACCCCTCACCAATCCTTCCCTAGCAGTAATGGGTGACTGTGTCATGACTAYCTTCAGCTCCACTCCCACCCTTTCCCAGGGCCCTCCTAGGAGTCATCCCCCAGGGTGACCTACGGTGGAAGTAGTACTGGTGCCGTCTTTCCAGCAGGCACACACAGAGGCCCCAGAGGAGCCCAGGTCCTCCCTTAGGTACCCAAGAAGAACCCCAGTACTGAGGGAAGGAGAGAGAATTCCTACTACAGGTGTAAATGACATGACTGGATGTTGGAATAGAGATGCCCTTTCCCATCACTTAGTATCTGCTCTTCTCCTGCACAAATGAACAAAACTTTTTTTCAATCTAGAAAATTGAATCACCCCCCAAAATTAAATTAAAAATGAAAACCTGAAACTTACCCTTCCAAGCTATTACAGTCCACTGAGGTGTTACGTACCGTTGAAGGCACATCAGAGCCCTTGGCTGTGGCTCATTGTGGAGCAGGAGGGGCACTAAACCAGTCCAAAGGACTGACGCTCTTCTCCCATCCTGCCCACCTTGGCACTTGAGACTGGAAGAAATCTGAATGGGAAATCAGAAGACCTGAACTTTACCCAGGTTCTGTGGGGTTTGACCACACAGGAATATAAGGAATTCAAACCCTGGAAATTCTCTGTACCCTAAGTATCTAGGATTCTCTGTTTAAATACAAATAATTCTCTGAAAGTAGTGACATATTATTTGACTATTACACACTTAACTCAAAAGAGCCTCCAAGTTTCATGTGCCCATCTTCTTACAAAAAAAAGTGATGTAAGTAGAGAAATGAAAAAGGAAAGATTTCAAAGATGGGGTCTCCCAAGGGAGAAGAAGTTGATGGGAGACCAGGCTAAGCCATGGGAAGCRCAGGGCTTTCTTTCAAGAGAAACCAAAAGGAAAGAGGAGTAGATAAGGTCCAAATAAAACTTATTTTTCTTATTTCACATTTTTTTCTTGGCTGGGCCTTAATTAAAACTACAAGGAGTCTGCTCTGGTAAAAGGCTTTTAGACCTTTATGGATGCCCATTGAATGGTAAATAGATACAGTTATACTGATCCTCAGACACTGTAATCCCTGACACCTATCGAAATAGCTGCTCACTTTCCTGTTTGAAAAATGATACTCATGTGGGGCCAGGAGGGGTAAGAAAAAGAGAAGAGAAGAAAATAACCATCCAGGTACTTCTTCAGCTTCCACTCCAAAACACACTGTGCTGGATCAGGAGGGGTAAGAAAAAGAGAAGAGAAGAAAATAACCATCCAGGTACTTCTTCAGCTTCCACTCCAAAACACACTGTGCTGGATCACGAATTGCATTTGGTCAGTCCTTACAGTTACTGATACATCGAATGGACCCTCCAGGCTTCTCACAACAAATTCGCCTGACTGTTAACCATTCCCATTCTACRTACAGGGGACATTGAGACTCACCAAAACCCATACTCTTCCTGCAAGAAATRATCTTTATCAAACGAGTCTTAGCTTTCCACTTGAGTGGTAAGCAAAGTATCAGTAACAATAAACATTCTCTGACAACGTGTGATTTGCCAACCACGACGCCATCATTTCTCAGGACTCTTCATCCTCATCCTACCTTGTGAAACAGCTCACATTGTCCTCATTTCACTGCAAAGGAACCTGAGGTGAAGCAATGTGCCCAGGGACACACGGTGAGATAGCCAAGATTTCAGCCAGACAATCTGACACCAAACACCAGAATCTTAACCACTGCACATAGCAAACTTATTTTAGCTYAATCGCCCATAAATAAAAACTTGTTATTGCTCAGTGTATTAAGAGGGATGAAGATAGAGCAGATTTCAGCTGCAATCCAGGCTGTTGACAGACCCAGAAATCTGCTCTTTGACAGGAGCTTGAGGTTACTGAGGGGTGAATGTCTTCAGAGGGGCAGGCCAGCTTCCAAATGGCTTTTTTTTTCTTTAAAACAACAATTTCCCTCTCCGCCCCAAAATACAGTCAAGGATCACAAATTGCATTGGGTCAATCCTTACATCAAAAACTTTCTTTGACTCCCTGATGTTCTTAGAGAACACAGGTCTATTTCAATCATCTCAGGACACATGGCTGCCACAGTACCCCAACACCAGAGGTGCAACACCCTGACCATCTCCACTCAAGGCCTGGAAAATGTTTCTGGCATCTTGGCAGAGATGAGAAACTGGAGCAGGGGGAGGCAGAATGGAGAGGTAAGGAGGAGGAAAGAGCCAATGTTTACGTATATAAAATGCAGAGGGAGGCCGAGTCCCTGAAAGAACATATTTCCAAAATTGGAACCAAAACATATTTCACAAACTCTCTTGGCCTTGGGAAGGATTAGCTGCTAAAGGACGTGACTGTGGGTACCACTCTCTGTTTACAAGCTTGCCCTCTGCCCTGCATGTAGACGTGACTTTCCGAGTCCCCGACCAGGGCTGATTATCCGGTTACCTGGGCTGCATAAACCCAAACAATTCCCAGAGTCTTTAGGACAAAAATTAAGGAGCAGAACACACAGGAGCACTGGCTGTGGCTGTATTTCCTCAACCCACACAGACATATGTATGTGTSCTAGGGTGTCCCCACCCCAACTAGACTCTATGCTTCAAAAATGTCAGTGCCGTGAAAAACAAAGACTGAGGAGCTGTTTGAGATTAAAGAAAATGAAAACAATGTGACCACCAAATGCCAGGTGTGATGTGTATTGGGCTGGGGAGGGAGAGGGGAAACTGCCCTGGGGGACGTGATTGGGGCAATTGGCAAAATTCAAATCTGGAGTATGTATGAGACAACAGTGTTAAACCAAAGTGAAGTCTGAATTGATTATTATACTGAATGACCAAATGGACAAATGGAYAATGGCCAAACCATATATAAAAATGGAATGTGGACAGACAGCCTGCAACAACCTATCCAAGAAAACAATCCTTCATGACARTCAGCCCAGGAGGCCAGCCTGGTATAATTTAAACTCGTAGGAAGCCAGATCGTCATCTCTAGTGACAATCCAGGAAATGAAACAATAAATTCTATAACAATCAACACCTAATGGCTAAGACTTGATAAATAACTGACAGCTTCCCTGATTTTTAYCCCCTCCTCCAACCTAGGACCAACCAGAGAAAGTCAAAATGCCCCCCAGCCAATCACCTAGGATGCTCGAGGCGCATTGAGCATCCCCATGGAGACAGCCTCCAATAAGACATGCCTGCACCTTCCCCTTGGTCCCCAATGAAGCTTCCCCATGCCTTGCCTGCCTCGGCATCTCTGCCAACATGCAAGTGGTGGTATCTGACTCCTTGCCACAGCAAGCTCAGAATAAATAGCCTTTGCCTTTCTCACTTGGTTGCTCTTTGTTTATTTYGATACCACTGTGGTATTGAGAGAGAACGTCTCCATCCATTGGCCACACATGCTGAAGTGTTGAGGAGTAAAGGGTCTTCCCCGAGCCCTCAAATGATTTGGAAAAACACACATACAGAGAGGGAGGAAGTGACAAAAGAAATGAGGTCACAGCAACGGGTCTGGGTGGATGGTCTCCAACTTCTTTGTTCTCTTCTTGCAACTCTTTTATAAGTTTGAAATGATTACAAAATGAAACGGTTTTTAAAAACATCCCCAGCTGATTGCTCACATTCTGCCCAAAGGGCCACACCTGGTCGCCTAAGACCTCAAATAATGCACAAGTGCACAGTCACTTTGTTCTCCTTGCAGAACTAGGAAAGCAGAAATGGGGGCTACTCAGCCTGTCCCCCAGAGAACCATCACACTCTTCCCGGCCCTTGAACCTTCCTAATCTTTTCTGACAGATTTTATGGGGAAAACTTTCCAATAGATCATTTCTGTAAAGACCTAGTGAATCATAACCACTACAGGGGGAATTGCCCCTATGGAGAGGGGAGGTTTGGTGAGATCAATTCTGGAGGAAGTGATCAGAAGTCTCCCTAAAGTAACCAGAAAGAGGAAATGTCTGGAAGGGAGAAGCTTCATAGATTCATAGATGGGTGCCTTATGGCTTTCTCTCTCTCTCTCTCTCTCTCTCTCTCTCTCTCTCTCTCTCTCTCTCTCTCTCTATATATATATATATATATATATATATATATATTTTTTTTTTTTTTTCCCTGAACCATATGAGGGTTAAGGGGAGAATTCCAGCTCCTTTGTCCCTAAACACTTTGGAAGTGTATTTCCTACAAACAACAGGTTAAGGCAGTGGTTCTCAGTCTTGGKTGCACACATGAAAATCTGATTACACAGAAGAATCCTCCATGGGGATCATTCACTACATAGAGAATCGTGAAGCCCCTTCCTTTCTCCCTGGGCTAAGGGGCACAGAAGCATCAGGGTGCTGTTCTCATTATCAGCCCTCACATGTGCCCTGAACACATGACACAAATGGCTCATGATCTGGGGATTGTGAGGATGTTTGGAGGTTGGCCATCGGCTTCTTAAGGCTAAGCCGAGTCCTTGGAAGTGGCTGGATTTAACTATTACTCTCCAAAGCTGTTGTCTGTGACTACTCCCCAACCTTGCCTTCTGAYTCTTCTTTCTTCCTTGCAACATATCGAGTGTCTTCTTATTTTCAAGCCTCTCTTATCCTTGACTCAGGGATTCTTAACCATGGCTGTATCTTGGGATCATCTGAGAAGATTTAAAAAATACCAGTGTTGGGTTCCGTGACCTGGACACTTACCCAGTTGTCCCCAGGGTATAGCCTGGGACTTTTTTTTAAGCTCCCCAGAAGATTCTCCTATGCAATTAGATTTTAATGTGTGCACCCAAGACTGAGAACCACTGTCTTAACATGCTGTTGGTAGGAAATAAACTTCTGATGTATTTAGGGATAAAGGATCTGGACAAYTGCCCTTAGCTCTCACATGGTTCAGAAAAAAACATATACATATAGGGAGAGAAGAAGAGATGCAACATAAGGCACCCATCTATGAAGCTCCTCTTTTCCACACATTTGCTCTTTCAGGTTACTTTAGGAAGATTCTCCACCATTTCCTCCAGGATTGATCTCACCAAAGTGCCCCTATAGGGGCAATCCCCCTGCCTTGGTTAGGATTCAGTAGGCTTTTATAAAAGTGATCTCTTCAAGACTTTTACCCAATAAAAAATTTTAAAAAGAAAAGCCATGTGCAAGCCACTCTGGTCAATAACAAGCAAAGGTGATTATCACATTGCTCACCCAGCCTGCGTCCACAGGACACAGTCCCGATGGCACCACATCCCCTTGTGACTGTACAAGCTGCTACCAGGCAGAAAACAACAGCTCGTCAATCCAGATGGACTCATAAGACTCTGAAAATACACGGGCAAAGAGATGATGAAACACCAGATTTACAGCAACAGGTGGTGGCCTCTCTGAGMAGGCGAATGCATGGTCATCTGGCCTCTCGGTCACACGAGGGAGAGAACAAGGAGACCCAGCACCAAGAAGTCTGTTGAAAGAGCTGTGGCTGGCATTCAAACCAGGGGGGCCACAGAAAGCATGCACTTGCCCAGTTCTCAGTCTGAAGACGCATAAAGAGTCTCAGAGGGGACTTCCAAAAACTATTTGTCTGTCTCGGATCCCCAGCCTGGCCCAATTAAATCAGTATCTTTAGATAGGCCTTGGTGTCTTTTTAAAGCTCCCTAGATAGACTAACATGCTGCCTGCTTGACTTTGCATGTGACCTCCCCAGAGAATTCTCTTATCACACCAGCAGGGCAGGACACTGAGTTCCCTATGCCTTTGGGGCTAGGTTCTGAAGCCACATCACTTTCCCTCACCCCTCCTCCTAGCCCTTCTTCTCATCTCACAGCCTTCCTCAATACACACTGTTATATGCACACACTCGGGACTGCAGAGCAAAAGCCCATTTGAGTCATTACAGGGTTTTGGGGGTTTTTTTGCATAATAGTCATTTTCTTAATTACACAATATGTTTTGGGGAGCAGATATCTCCTTTTACCCTGTTGAGGGGCCTACAGCAACTAAGAGTCTTAGCTCAATATAATATAAACATCAATTGGCTGAAAGTTTGGTTGATTTATTCAGCTAAAATATCAAGAGATAGATTCACTGAGGCCTAGTATCCTTGGTAGTCAGCTCCTGAATAACAAGTACCATAGGCTATATTTGATCCTGCCTCCAACAGTTATAAGCTATGTGACTTTTTTATTTACTTAGTGCTACTAAGGATTGAACCCAGGACCTCACACACACTAGGTGAATGCTCTACCACTGAGCTACATCCTCAGCCCCAAACTATGTGACTTCATTTTTTAATAAAATATTTATATTTTAATAATATTTTATTTTATTTAACTGAGATCCAAACCTCAGTTTCTGTACCAAACAAATTGGAATAATAATATCCAACTCATAAGGCTATTAGATACTACAGGCACAGCACTTTGCAAAGTGCCTAACAAATAATAAACATTTCAAAATAACAGCTGCTTCAATGGCCTCCTCTGTGGATCAAAGTTCACTCTGAAATGTCCCCAAAATCTAACTTGAACTTATATAAYATCTTTTCTAACTAGTGACTATGATCAGCAAACGTGGGACAATCTCTGGAGATTGTGCAT